TAAAACCCTAAACCCCTAAAACGCTAAACCCTAAACCCTAAACCCTAAACCCTAAACCCTAAAACCCGAAAACCCAAACCCTAAAACCCTAAAGCCCTAAACCCCTAAACCCCTGAAACCTAAAGGTGAGCGGCTGGCTCAAGCTCGAGGGCTGCAAAGCTGCTTTGGAAGCCTCACGGTCTAGGGTTTAGGGTCTAGGGTTTAGGGTTTAGGGTTTAGGGTTTAGGGTTCAGATTTTGGGGATTCCTTCTGTAGGGGTTCCTTTCAAGCTTCCTGTAAGGGATCTAGAAGGGTTTCGGATATTAGGGTTTAGCATTTTAGGGTTTTTAGGCAGTAGAGTTTCGGGGTTCAGGGTAGGGTTTAGGGTTTAAGTATTCAAGTTGCTGCTCTTCCAACCCTAAGCCGAAGGGTCCAAGTGCCCAAATAATGGGGGGTGTCAAGAACGGGGAAACCATTCAGAGTGCAGTAGAGATTTTGGGATGTTGGGGCCTAGAACCCTGCAATTCGAGTACTTGGGTTCAGGCTCTAATGAACCTCCTGCAGATGGCCTGGCGCCTCCCACTTAGGGTCAAAGTGGGCTTTCTGCTCTTGATGGCATCAACAGTTAGCTTCCAGCCCCAAAGATGGAAGTTGCACACGATGCCTGCTCGGCTAATTGGTGTGGGGGTCCCACTTCGGCAAGCAATCTACATTCCGGGCAGCTGCCTCCTACACAATGCAACTACTTTTGAACGCTAAACAGCCACAAACCCTCAATCCTGGCCCTGATCCTGCGAACCCCAAACCCTAAACCCTAAACCCTAAACCCTAAACCCTAAACCCTAAACCCTAAACCCCAAGCTCTCTCAATTCTTAACGGTGTCACCCCTACAATCCCCATAGAGTTAGTTCTGCTGTAATATCCCCCCCCAACTCTATCCTGTCAAACCCTAAACCCTAAACCCTAAACGCTAAACCCTATTGAGACTCCCTGTACGAAACCCTTCTCGGACGCCTGGTAATTGCAAACCATGTCCTAAGGGTCCAAGAGACCTAATAATCATGTACTTAGGGTTTAGGCTTGCGGCTTTAGGGTTTAGGGTCCAAGAGACCTAAGAATCATGTACTTGGGGCTTAGGGTTTAGGGTTTAGGGTCCAAGAGACCTAAGAATCATGTACTTGGGGCTTAGGGTTTAGGGTCCAAGAGGCCTAACACTCATGTACTTGGGTTGCAGGCAGTAGTTTTGTAGGTTAGTATTCAGAAGAGTATATGATTATTAGGTACTTGGACCCTTAGGGATATATAAAGGAGCCCTTGAATGGGATCTATTTTCCATTCCATAACCCTAAACCCTAAATCCTAAACCCTAAACCCCAAACCTTAAACCCTAAGCCGAAGAGCCTGCCGTAACAACTCCGAGGCCAGATGCCAGCTGCTCTGTGCGCAGGCCTGAAGGCCTCCACTGATGATGCACTGAGTGCTGAACTGTAAGGGTTCCGGGTTTAGGGGTTTAGGGTTTAGGGTTCAGGGTGGTTAAGTCTTCAGGGTTTAGGGGATGCACTTAAGGACTTAAGGTTCCAAGGTGCCACATGAAGGAAGGGCTGGAAGATGGTAGTAAGGTGGGTAGTTCTCTAAATTAGGGTCCCGAAATATAGTCCCCTAGTGCAGCACCCTTACAACAAGGACCCTAAATGGGGCCCTAGTTTGGAGAACTACCATTGTAGTGGAGTAGACCTACGTGATGGGATGCCTCCATCCTCCTGGACTTCACATACCTTAAGGACCAAATGGCCCTTAGCAGTAGGGACCCTATACCCTTATACTATGAAGCCCTATGATGGTGCATGAGCCTGAAATCCGTTTAAGGCTCATGCCGTCTTTAAGGTAACATTCCTTCGAGCCCATGCGATTTGGGGGTAACCCGGACCAACTGTTTCCCTGAAGTGACATGCCCTGAACCCTATAAACCCTAAACCCGGTTTAGGGTTTAGGGTTTAGGGTTTAGGGCTTTGTCAAACCCACCAAGAGGAGCTGAAGCTAACTCACAAGAGCTCATCCCCCCTTTGCAGGAAGTATGACGGTCAAGTTGTATACATGTCCTGGCAACTGCGTAGCGAGACACAGAAGTAGGAGTCACTGAGCTGCCTGTGTATCTCTTTGTGCGACTGCTCTAGGGTTTAGGGTTTAGGGTTTAGGGTTTAGTCCCAAGGCCAACCACCAAACTCTAGTCCTTACCTTAACCCCAAAGAACCTGCCTTTTTAAGGACTTCATATACAATACTTATAATAAGGAACCCCCAAAAATGTAGGTTGCTTGGGGCCCAGGTAAGCCTTAAGCCCGGACCAAAACCATAGAGAGGCAACGGGCCGGAAACCCAATCCCTAGATCCCAAAACCTTTGCGCAATAAACTAAAATGGCCCTAAACCCTAAACCCCAAACCCTAAACCCTAAACCCCTAAACCCTAAACCCTAAACCCTAAACCCTAAACCCCTAAACCCCTAAACCCTAAACCCTCAACCCGAAACCCAAAAAACCCTAAACCCTCAACCCTAAAGCCAAGGCTCTTTTGACCCAGATCCGAAACCCGAAGCCTCCCCAAGCCCGAAACGTACTACTGTAGGGGCCTTGAGGTGCACAAAAGGTTCCTTAAAGGGTTCTACAACGGGTACTATAAGGGTTTAGGGTTTCAGGGCCTGAATAGTTAGAATATGGTTTTGGGCCCCATTATCATATAATTCTACTAGAGCGCCATAAGGAATATTGGTAACTATCTAGGCTTCTATATTACAAGGCCTGTGCCGCAAAGTAGGTCTGTCGGCTCGTGCCAGCACTCGCCGGCATCGGACTGGAGAACTCCAAGTAGCCTCGGCTGAGGGTCTCCCAAGTGTGGGGCTTCCGCCTCCGGTGGTTTAAGGTTTCTTTTGTTGTTTTTTAGTTTTTTGTTTAAAGGGTTTAGGGTTTAGGGGTTAGGGTTTAGGGTTATTTCGTGATTAAGGAGTTTTTTGGTTTGAGGTTTAGGGGTTTGGGTTTAGAGTTCAGGGATTAGGCTTTGGGGTTTGAGGCTTAGTGATTAGGGTTTCTTGAGTTTAAGATTTAGGGATTGGGGTTTAGGGCTTACGGTCAAGGGATTAGGTTTAGGGCCTTGGGTTTTAGGTTTAGGGCTTAGCATGAAGGCTGCCCTCCTCTAGACTCTACGGGTCCAAAGCTCCCAATGAATGGGTACTTGAGCTTAGGCTCGTAGCTACGCAGTTATGCAAGATAAACTTAAACCATAACCGAAACCCGAATCACTAAGCCTTAAACCCTAAACCCTAATCCCTAAACCCTAATCCCAACAAAATCCCTAATCACTAGTTTTTAGGGGGAGCATGCGATGACTCGGTACTTGGATCCTGGGGCTTCAAAGGTTCTGGAATAGGCTATTGGTAGTCTTCCTTTAGGGGTTCGTTTGGGGCTTAGGGGTTTATATAGGATTCATAGACTATCAAATCTTCATTTAAGGGTTCGTTTGGGGCTTAGGGGTTCAGTAGGTTTAGGATTCATAGACTATCAAGCCTTCATTTAAGGGTTCGTCTGGGGCTTAGGGGTTTAGGATTCAGATTTAGGCTTCATCTTAGAGGTTCTCGTCAGGGTCCCTCAGCGGCTCTAGAAAGCTTCCTTTACAGACGAATCCGAGGCCCTCAAACCCTGAACTCTCAACCCAAAACCCTGAACCCTAAAACCCGAAGTTTAAACCTTATAGTAAGCCCCAAAAAGTTGGAAACCGGATAAAAGGACAAATAGTGCTGGGATCCCCTATACATTACTCTTAGGGATTGAGGCTAATGGGTTTCCAACTTTTGGGCTTCTACTATAAGCGTTACCAGGAACCCCACCCCTCAAAAAAAAAAAAAGGTGCCAGTTCATAGAGCCCTTCCTCAATTAATGGGTATTTCGGATATACCCAAAGGGTCCAAAGTACCGATATGGTAGAATGTAGGGTTTCTATATTAGGAATTACTATTATGATTTAGGGAAGTATCCCCCATAACAGTACATAGGACCCTTTGGGTAGTAGAGGGTAGTTTGGGGGTCGGGGTCCAGAACCCTTACGCAAATCTCTACAGAACCATTATGACACGTAGTATGACAGATCCGTCTATAAATCCTACCTTAAGAACCCAAAACCTACGTTTTTGTAGAGTCTCTATAAATCCCATATCAGGGTTTATAACAAGAACCTACAAGAAAGTGAGTTTTGGGTTCTTAAGGTAAACCCTAAACATAAGGACACCATCTCTTTACCAGCCCGGGAGCAGTTGCAAGGCGTGGGCCCAGGTCCCAGCAACCTCTGTGAGGCCCGTATCGAGCAGGTTTGGGTAGTAGGGGCCCTCTGCACCCTTAAAAATTCCCAAAATCCTAATGGAACCCTAAACCCTAAACCCTACAACATACGCCCGAAGGCTCGAAAGCCTTATTCTACTTCTTGCAAGACCCCGTATTGACTAAATTCTATACAAGCACAAAGAAACAGAACAACGCCCTTGTGCAACCCCTAGGTACATGAAACCCAGCATATAATATAAACTCCTTTTAAGTCCTTGCAAGCCTTCTTGAGTCCATTATGAATAAACTAATATGGCATTGGGCCCTTGCAGCCCTAAGCTTTAAACCCGAAGCCGTAAGCCCCGGTACCTTGAACCCAAGCCCTTTCTTGAAGGCTAAGTTTAGGGCTTAGGGTTTGGAGTCAAGCCACTACCCTAAACCCCTAAACCCTAAACCCTAAACCCCTAAACCCAAAACTGTCCCCTACACCCTAACTGATAGGAACCTTCCGCTCTTCCGTAGACAAAAGTCAGGTTGGATAAGAACGGCGATGGCA